GGTCTGAAGAGTGACAAGAGATGAATCTGGAGAGAGAGGTCAGACCATGCAACACAGAACTTTGAAGGCCACTTCATTAGGTTCATGAAGGTCATCCAAGGACCATACTGTCTAACTAGAACTTTATCAGCTCTGACTTGATCTTGTGAACAACCAGATTTTGGTTTCATTGACTTTTCTCTATTGTTTTTTGCTTATTTTTCATTTCCTTGATTACTCTTATCTTTTTTTTTTTTTTTTGAGACAGAGTCTCACTTTGTTGCCCAGGCTAGAGTGAGTGCCGTGGCGTCAGCCTAGCTCACAGCAACCTCAAACTCCTGGGCTTGAGTGATCCTTCTGCCTCAGCCTCCCAGGTAGCTGGGACTACAGGCATGCGCCACCATGCCCGGCTAATTTTTTTTTTATATATATATCAGTTGGCCAATTAGTTTCTTTCTATTTATAGTAGAGACGGGGTCTCGCTCTTGCTCAGGCTGGTTTTGAACTCCTGACCTTGAGCAATCCGCCCGCCTCGGCCTCCCAAGAGCTAGGATTACAGGCGTGAGCCACAGCGCCCGGCCTACTCTTATCTTTATTATTTCCTTTCTCTACTTCTTTTGGGGTTTAATTTACTCTTTTTTTTTTTTAGGCTTTTATGATAGAAGCATAGATCATTGATTTTTTTTAACTGTAAACGTTTGTCCTTTATTTTCCCAAATCTCTTTGAATGCAAATAAATATATGTGGACATATAAAAATAGTTTCATTGTTAAATATATATATAAGACCATAATACATAGATTTTCTACAACTTGCTTTTTTAACTTAAGGTAACATGAAGGAGGGATATTTCTTTAGCTATGTATAAAGTTCTACCTCATTCTTTTTAAATGGTACATAATATTATATAGTAACTATTTCCATATTGACAGACATTTAGGTTCTTCAGATATTTCAGTAGTACAAACCATACTACAATGAACATCCTCACAAGTGAGAATGTTCTAGGATAGAGATGCACAGAATATTTTTGATAAATGTGTTATTTATTGAATATCTCCTCTTTGATGGTCAGAGCAAATATACTACTTGTGCATGATTTACGACACTAACTACTTTTGATGATTCTTTCTTTGTCATTAATTTTCTTAATATTGTTTAATGGCTTAACTCTGGGGAAAAGCCTTCCCACATTCATTACATTCATAAAGTATGGATTCTCTGATCTTCAGCAAGGCTTTAGTTGTGCCTGAAGGCTTTCCCACATTTCTTACAGTGATTTGAGTTTTCTTCCAATGTGAATTTCCTGAAGTCCAATAAGGATTGAGCTCTTCATAAAGGTTTTCCCATAGTCATTACCCTGATAGGGTTTATTTCCACTATGAGTTTTCTGACGTTCAGCAAAGGATAAGCTATACCTGAAAGATTTTCCACATTTACTACAGTAATAGGGTTTCTCTTGTGTGTGCAATCTTTGATGAATAATTACTAGTTGAGCTCTTCCTAAAAGCTTTTTTGTATTTATTACACTGATGTAGTTTTGTACCAGGATAGTTTTCTGATGCTCCAGCAGTTGAGTTATCTCTGAGAGCTTTCTCACGTTCCTTACATGTAAAAGGCTTCTCTCTACTCTGTATTCTCTCCTGACGAGTAAGGATTGCCTTCTCAACCAGGGCTTTCCCACAGTCATTACATTGGTAGGGTTTCTGACTCTTGTGAATTCTTAGATGAGTTGAAAGGTTAGTTTTTTTAAAGCTTTTCGCATTTATTGCACTTATGGGGTTTCTCTCTAGAAAAAATTCTCTGAAGATTAATAAATGTTGAGTACTTCTTGAAGAATTTCCCACATTCAATACATCTATAAAGTTGCTTGCCTGTGTGAATTTTATAGTGGTTTAAAAGGGGTGATAACGAAGTAGCTTGCTCATAAAGTCTATCCCACATTCTTTGCATTTGTGGTTTTTCTCACCAGTATGGTTTCTCTGGTGACAAATAAAGAAAGAATCATATCTGAAAACTTTCCCACATTCCTTGCATTTATAGTACTACATCTCTGTGTGGCTTCTGCCCTCTCAATCCAGGCCTCTTTCTGTCAGGCAACTCTCCCCGAACACATCCTGCAGAAGTATTTTGCTTTAAGGTTTGAAAGAGAGAAGCCCACAGACACCAGATTCTCTTAGTTTCCAACATCACATTGCTGTACAGTATCTGCTGTACAGGATCTGAGTGGCATCTAGTTGTCTCCATTCAATCTGGGTAAAGGCCATAGCCACATTCCCAAATGTCAGTGATCTCTGGATCTGGGATCTTGGTAGTTTTGGGACCATGTGTCTCCTAAATTGTTCTCCCAGACAAGGGAGAGAACCCCATGTAAGCTAATAGTTCTGGAGGCTAGAAATCCAAAATCAAGGTGTTAGAAGGGTTTGTTCCTTCTGAGACTCTAGGTGGAACCCTTCCTTGCCTATCCCTCGCTTCTGGTGGTTGCCATTAATCCCTGGCTTTTCTTGGTTTGCAGCTGTATCACTCCAATCTCTGCCTATGTCATCACATGGCATTTTCCCTGTGTGTCTCTCTAAGTCATTGATTTTAGACTTCTTTTTTGAAATAAGCATTTTAAATTTTAAATGTTTCTCTAAACATTGCTTTAACAGTATCTCACAAATTTTTATATACTGTATTTTCCTTTTCATTCAGTTTACAATATTTTCTAATTTCCCTCATGCAGTTTTAACCTACACTTTTGTAAATTAGTATTCAGCCAATACTGAAGGTGACCACTATCCAGGTATCTGGAGCTCTTTCTCTGTGTAGCTCTTTTCGGTACTTTGTTAAAAAATTCTAGCTATCACAGCCACCCTGAACTCTGTCAACTCAATTCAGCAACTGCCCTGTTCTGCTTGGCTCTTTCTCGCTGGTGCCACAGTTGGGAGCATGCCTCCAGCAGAAAGACGGGGGCTCACAGGGCTGACTTGCTTTGTTTCCTTTCTCTCAGTGATCACAGTCCTGTACTGCCTGTTGTCCAGTGTCTAAAAACAGTTGCTTTATATGTTCTATCTAGCTTTTCAGTTGTTCATGGTCAGAGGACAGTCCTATAGCAATTCCTCCTTCAAGTGCAGAAGTGGAAGTCTCAGTGCATTTTAAAAAATTAAATAAAATAGTAGCTTACAGAAAAGTGAAAGTTATTTTCATCTATGTTGACTTCTTTATTATGTTAAATATGAGACAATTGTTATAAGGAGAATAAGGGAAAGTTGTTATAAAGGTAACTGATAGTAGTTACTGATGTTAACACTTTTTTGATTTCAATAGTCTGTATACTTAACTGTTATCAAGATTCATACTATTGTGACTATGTAGGAAGGTGGATAAGAAAACGAGGGGTATTTCTGAAGTTCTCGGTAGTTTCATTTTTTTCATAGTTGCTATTTCTTCATCTTAAGGAAGTTCTGTTTTCTCTGGCCTTCAAAATTGTCTGGTGTTAGGTTGGTGCCGATGCTGGCTTCCAGAATGCTTCTGACTGCTTTCTCTTCCTTAAATCTCCCAGTTTATTAGTGTCCATGTTTAGTCTGTTGGACATTTAATAAATATTTCATGGGAGTCATGTTGGCTTTGGCTGATTTTCATGTGGTGCTTTAGTTAGAGACCTTTTTCAGTTATGTGTACATGCAGACATGGTTACCCATTTGATCTATGCTTTGATTCTATTGCATGTTTTCTCTATATAATTCTAATATGTATTTTATATTAACCCCCCCCCCCAGGACCAAGACTAGGGTGAGGAAAGAGAGGCACCCAAGCATAAAATTAAAGAGGCACTCACTCTCAAGATTGTATAAGCCAACCCTGCACTCAGATGACCCTGAGAGTGAGTGCCTCCTTAAATTGTGTGTCCAAGGCACTTCTCTTACGTCACCCGGGGTTTTGTTCCTATATAAATGTGACAACAGCTAGTTATCAACACCTATATAACCAAGACCTTAAAATGAATTTGTATAACAACTTTCATTTAGAATGTACTTTGACTTTACTTCATCTAAGAAAACAGCGGTGATATAATATTTCAGGGAAATCAATGCCATGCCTGAGCTAATCGAACAGCTCAAAGTTTATCCATAAGCAACTTTAGCCAGAATTTTGGACCGTGTTATCTAGGTTACCCACAGTAGGTCACTGTTGTACTTCTGTTCCATTATTTCTTGTCATGACATGGCTTTTCATTGGGAAGTTCCTTTTAGCAGAATCCAATCATCATCAGAAGTTTTGGTAATCTTAACTACTACTCTGGCTGATACCATGATATGCAATAGCATGATATCCTGACTTTGGCAAATGATTGTTTAGAAAATGGGCCAGGTGCAGTGGCTTACGCCTATAATCCTATCACTTTGGGAGGCTGAGGCAGGAGGATCTCTTGAGGCCAGGAGTTTAAGACCAGCCTTAGCAATGTAGTGAGACCCTGTCTCTACCCACCCCCCCACACCAAAAAAAAAAAAAAAAGGATGTGCCTGTAATCTGCATAAGGTCACAAGTGCTCAGTCTGTGTTGCTGCCAGTTCCGTGGGGGAAATATTCTAACTTATCTCACTACCTGTTTCTGGTCTAGTAGTCCTCACTTTGTCCCTGAGAAATAAATGCCTTGGAGGTTAGTGGGAAGTCAAGTGTTGAGACTCTGTCCTCCCCCGCTTCCCCTATACACTTTCACCAGAATACATCCTTTTCTTTTTTCTTTTTATTGTTGTTGTTTTCTGTTTCATGAATTGGAATTCTGTGGAAAAGTTCTGTGAGGCAGGAACTCAATGAGAAGGGGAACCATTGATGAATATGGAGCAGTACTTCTACAAGCTAAAATTTCCTGAGCCCAAAAACACTCTTTTGCTTCCTCTGTTCAACTCACTGGATAGCTTTCTCACCCTCTTAAAAACCTGTCTTCAGAATAGCCTCAAATGTTCGTGTTCAGGGCTCTTTATGGAGCAGTAGTCTCTTTTTATTTCATCTGAAAATGCTTTCATTCTTTGTTTTTAGATGCCAGTGAGAGCAGGTGCCAACAGGGGAAGACACAATTTGGAGTTGGCCTGAGATCTGGTGGAGAAACTCACCTCCAGCTTCTTGAAGGAACCCCCTCCCTCCAGTCATGTTGGACTGCCTGCTGCCAGGACTCTGCTTGCCATGCCTTTTGGTGGCTAGAAGGGATGTGCATTCAAGCAGATTGTAGCAGGCCCCAGAGCTGCCGAGCTTTTAGGACAGACTCTTCCAATTCCATGCTGGTGTTTTTTAAAAAGTTCCAAACTGCAGATATTTTGGGCTTTCCACCTGAAGATGATGTACCACATCTTCTGGGGCTAGGTTGGAGCAGGGCATCTTGGAGGAGGCAGAGCCCACCCAGAGCTCCATTCAGACCTGCTGTATCTTCCAGTGACCAGGAGAGCTTAATCAGGAAACTTCAGAAAAGAGAGAGTCCTCCTGAAGAAGTAGTTATACCTGTAGTGACACAGCATTCTAAAGTGAATGGCTCCAAGGAACTAGGTAATCTGACAACCAATGGCTCTGCAGAGGTAAGCATGTTATGAATGAGACAAACTGTTAAATCTGCTCTTAAATTTGGCATGCATGAGCAATGAAGCTGATGCTTGTGGGCAGTGTGCATAGGCTGAGGAGTGTGTGCATTAATATAAAGCTGCTTAGTGTCATCTTGTTGGTGCTGCCCAGATATAAAAGGGTCATTTGACCTTAGAGATGTTCACTGTGTGCAGGTCTTGTCTATTGTTTTGGTAGAAGCAGAAAGCTGCTCATTATCTAGTCTAAGCTGGTTCTTGGCTACAGGTAAGTGCAGTTGTGTGGGTATTAGTCTCCACCAACAGTTCTGCAGCATTTTCTGCCAGATTGCAAAACAGTTGATTGATGTGGTTGCAGTCAAGTTCTCCTCCTCCTCTCCCGCCTGTAAACATGTTCTTGAGGAGGTAGTTTCTATTCCAGTTTAAATTAACTATGCCTGGTACTGCAGATTAAGATCTGACCTGCTGGGCTGGGGAGCCGGATGTGGCCATTAGCCAAGAGTTCTCTGGAGTGAATTCTCACCAAGTTGTGTTTGCCAAGGGAGATACCACCAATAGAGTTTATTCTGCTTATTATGTTTCTTCATTGTTGATCTTCCTGGGCAAATGATTAAAAGGAATGACTCACTCTATGCTCAGTCTCCCTTGATTGCTGTGATTTTTTTTGTATTTGTTTTGTTCTAGTTGTCTCTACCAAGTTGAAACCAGAGTGGGCTACTACATGCCAGGCACTGCATGTACTAATTGTTGTACTATGTCATTTTGTTTAATTTTCATAGCAATATTTCCAAGTAGGTAATATTAGCCCTGTTTTTGTGGTGAGAAAACTGAGGCCCAAAGAGGTTAAACAACTTGCCAGTGATCATGCAACTAATGATTAACATAGCTAGAATTGGAACCCATATTTAATATTAAGGGAAAAACTTTTCAGCTTAATATTAGAGAACAATCTTAATCTTAGATTTAATATGCTCATAAATACTTACGGAAACATACTATCAATATTAGGTACTTTCCTAAGCACTATAGAGATACAAAGGTGAAGAAGACATGGTTCATACCCTCAGGGAGTTTATAGTCTAGTGGAGACTGAGACAGTAAGCTAAGTATTTATAATAGTATATAATTATTGCATTAACAGGTTTATGTACACAATACAGTAAGACCACAAAGAGGAAGTGATTCACTTGAACAGTCAGGTGGTGTGTATGTGCAGGTAAGACTGGACAGAGATGTTTGACATTTCTTGAAGGATAGGATTTCACTAGGGTGGTTAAAGATAGTAAGAAAGCATTCTGAGCAGAGCTGCAGTGTATGCAAAGGCTCAGTCAGCAAGTATTTATTGTATGTTTACTATGTGCAAAGTATTATACTAAGCTGGACACTGGGAATATTATAGTAAACAATATAAACATGATTTCTGCCCTAATAAAGCTTAAACTCTGGTAAGGAAAACAGACATTACATTTCTAATAATTAAATAATTATAAACCCAGTGTGAGTTATAAGAGGATTAAGTACAGAGTGCTGTGAGAGCTAACAGAGATTAAGGTGTCAGGTGAGGTTACCCTAGGAAAGAAAGTTTAAGCTGATTTTTGAAGTAGGAGTTAGGAAAAGAAAGAGGGAAAGAATATTTCAGGCAGAGGAAATAACAATTTCAAAGGATGTTGGGTGCCCTAGAGCACAGCAAGATCAAGAAATTGAGACAGACTGGTCTTGCTGGGCAAACAGAGAAAGACAGCTAGTGGTGGAGGAACAGGCTGGAGAGCTGTGCAGAGCCTTGAGGCCTTCTTAAGATATTGGTCTTTATCTTAAGATCAGTGGGAAATCATTGAAGAGTTTTAAGTAGGGAATGACATAATCAGATAAATCGCTGTGTGGTGAATAGACTAGAAAAGGGCAAAAATGCATAGTTGACCCCCTGACTGCACAGTTGAAAATCCACTTACGACTTTTCACTCTCCCCAGAGTTTAACCACTAATAGCTGACTGTTGACTAGAAGCTTTACTGATAACATAAACAGTCAATTAATACATATTTTGTACGTTATATGTATTATATGCTGTATTCTTACAATAAGCTAGAGAACAGAAAATGTTATTAAGAAAATAATAAGGAAGAGAAAATATATTTACTATTCACTAAGTGGAAGTGGATCATCATCAAGGTCTTCATCCTCATCGTCTTCATGTTGAGCAGGCTGAGGAGGAGGAAGAGAAAGGGTTGGTCTTGCCGTCTCAGGGGTGGCAGAGGTGGAAGAAAATTCACATATGAGTGGCCTTGTGTGTTTAAGGGTCAACTGTGTGTTTCCTGAGTCTCCAGAAACATTGCACCAAAGAAGGTGGTTACAGACACAGGAAAGGTGATAAACAACAAATAATTGCTTAGAGCTGTTGTTCTCAGATTTCAACAGGCATCAGACTCACTTGGAGACCTTTTTAAAAACAGATTGCTAGGCCCTAGCTCTGGGGTTTCTGACTTAGTAGATCTCAAGTAGGGCCTCATAATTTGCATTTCCAGCAAATTCCTGGAGAGAGTGCCAAAGGGCCACATTTTGACACCACCCACTGCCTCATGGATGGGGGAGTTTAGAATACCAAGCACAGAGCACAAGCTTAGCCTTATACAGGATGCCTCCTCCATTGTGATAGGGAGAAAGGGTCGGACAGGATGCATTCAAGTGGGTTTATAGGTTGGGTAGAAGGAAATTATGGTAGTTTTAATCTTGTTCTTGTTTTTTCTGAAATGTGATGATAGATCATTTATGGAGAGTAGAAGCAGAGGTATGTGAGGTAGGGATAGGTGGGTAATGGGCAGGAGAATCAGAGGTTTAGGGAGAGTGGTAAAGGTCTCAAATAGCCACTGTGAAGGGTGAGAGATGGCACACTAGGTAAGGAAATAGGATTGCTGGGCAGCCTTGAAGGTGGAGACCATGTATTTGTAGCAGTGGTTACTGATCTTGGCAGCTGTGTGATTCTTCTCAGTAGCTCTCAACAACCCTGTCAAGAAAAGGCTGATAGTTTGATTCATCCAAGATAGAAACTCTGCTAGGTAGTTTGTATAGAAGAAAACTGGGGTGTGGAAAATGGAAGTTGTTGTCAAGAGAGCAGATAAAAGAGAGAGTGTAAGAAGATATGAAAATAGGTAAAGGATAGGAGGGGGATGACAGAGGTAAGACAGAGAAATTTGAGGCTGGGTGCAGTGGCTCTCACCTTAATCCTAGTACTCTGGGAGGCCGAGGCAGGAGGATTGCTTGAGCTCAGGAGTTCAAGACCAGCATGGGCAAGAGCGAGACCCCATCTCCACCCAAAATAGAAAAATTAGGCGGGCATGGTGGCGTGCGCCTATAGTCTCAGCTACTTGGGAGGCTGAGGCAGGAGGATCACTTGAGCCCAGGAGTTTGAGGTTGCAGTGAGCTGTGATGATGCCACTGAACTCTAGCCTGGGGCAACAGAATGAGACCCTGTCTCAAAAAAAAAAAAAAAAAGAGAAGTTTGGCATTTAGAAGTTTCCATGTTGGGAAGCAGATATAGAAGGGACAGGAGGTGGTGGTCAGAGTATGTGTTATGTGAATTGAAGATTTTGAAGGTGGAGGAGTTCTGGTGATGACAGGATCTAGGGTGTGGCTGTGGAAGAGGGTTGCTGGGGTAGAGTAGAGAAGATAATTGGCTACAAGGAGCTCAGAGAACATGTTAAATGAGTTATCTATGTGGATACTGAGATAGTCTTTGATGATGGTGATGGTGATGATGATCATAGTAACACTAGCTAATGTTTACTGAGCACTTACTATGTGCCAGGTGCCATTCTGAGCCCTTTACATGTATTAACTTATAATATATACAACAAATCCTATGAAGTACTATTACTATTCCTATTTCATAAATGAGGAAACTCAGGAAAAGGAAAATGACTAAGGCAACACAGCTAGTATATGATAGAACCAAGACTTGAACCCAGGCAGTCTGGTTCTATCTAGAGTCTGTCCTCCTAACCCTCTTATTCTTTAGGCAGGACTTGGGGTAAGAAGGGATTTTGAAAGTCAGGCATCAATGCCATCAGTAAAGTAGGGGGAGTGACGAGTGAGTTGGGAGATGACAGCTATGGTGAGAGCTGAAGTGTAGTGCAGCAAGATAGCAAAGGAGAAGAGGTTTTTACAAGGAGGTAGAAGAGTAATGGTTTACAAAGGGCATGGGGAAGGGGAGCAAAGAAAATGGCTCCAGCACACTATAGGATAATTATGGATAGTGAAATTAGAAATGGACCAGTAAAGTTAGAAATATGGTGGATATAGACCAGACAGTCTCCTGGAAGATGTTGAAAACTCAAACTCGGCCTTACAGAATTCAGGTGTATGCTGGCAGGAAGATCTTGAGTATGTGTTGGCCGGAGAGTTCACTTATTTGTTTACCAGCAGTGTGCAGTGGCAATAAATTGCTTTTAGTGAACAGGATTTCAAGAGCTTTGTGGTCGAACATGGAGTGGGTAGACCTGAGGGGAGCAATATCGAACTTAAACTATGAACCAAGGAGTGGTAATGGGCTTTTGCTGCAGGTAGTGTTGCACAGAAGCATTAACATAGTTTGGCATTGCATATTGGGACCTGCAAGCATTGCTAAAAAATGGGACAAAGTGAAGTCTTCAGATCCAGACAAGTATTATTTGACCTTATATGCCATGCTTAGGAGCTTGATTCTTACCCTCAAGGCCATGGATAGCTCTGGAAGGGTGGTAAGATTGCCTTGTGCATTCAGAATAGTAACTGGTAGGCATTTCTTTTGGGAGAGAACTTGGAGTTCAAACTTCTGCTTGATGCACTAGGGAAAGGAAGACAAATGTATGCACTGCAGATCTTCTCCTTCTAATTAGGGATGACTGGCTAGCAGCACTAGTTTCTAGTTTGTACTGTTTTCACTAAGGTAGGTCAAGCAACTCTGCATCCAAATGGGGAGAAATTGTATCATAAATTGTACTTGTCTTGCCTGAAATGCCTGTAGAG